CTTTTATTTGTTAAAATTCAACAAACATGTTTTTTTTTTTCTATCTATTCTATTTACCCTTTTCCAAACATAGATCTGGAACCCTAACTCAAACCCTATCTGTTAGGGTGTAAAAATGGCCCGATGCCCATGGGCGGCGCGAAGCTAGCCCGAGGTGGGCTCGACTCATTTTGGCCCGAGCCCAACCCAGTACCTTGGGCCTGAGCCTTCCATTTGAAGCCTGGCCAGACTCGTTAACCCCGGCTGACCCAAAAAAAGTTCGAGCCCTGTGGATGGCCCGACCCTCTTTCAGCTAATGGTCAAATTTCAAAAAAAAATTAAAAAGCAACTTGCAACGGTTAAATAATTAAAATAAATAAAAATAAATAAAATAAAAATTGATCTTACAAAAATAAAAATAAAAATAAAAATAAAACAACACAACACAACACAACGGCCATTTCCTTGCAATGAATGAATGAAATATATATATAATTCTAGACCCATGCCCCTACCCAACCTACCCCCTGCCCTGCCCTTCATGCATCACATCACTCTCACTCACAATCAAGTTCAAGTTACTGTTACAATGAATGAGAAAAAAAATAAAATAAAAAAAATACTGCAACTCAATTGCTACTGCCTGCCCCTGCCACCCTCTACGGCCTACCCTTGTGCTATATTTGCATCACTCAACTCACTCTTTACTCACATTCATTGAATGAAAAATAAAAAATAAAAAAATTATTCTGTATCTAAGCACCTCTGCAGACTTAAAAAAAAATATTCAAATGATCATATTACCGTTTAATATATATATATATATATACATATATATTTTTAAATTTACTTCAATCTTTCAAACTACTATAAATATCTCTCATTTTTCAAAATAAATCACAATAATAATTCTTACTCTCTCTTAAACTCTCTCAATCTCTCTTAACTGTCAATTAATTTTGATATGTCATCCTTAAGTGGCAATTGCAACTGTGCAACAAGAAACTTTTATCTGAAGAAGCTAATTTCTGTATCGCATTCGTCAGTCGGTAACATTGATTAGTTTAATTAAATTTATTAGCTACTCATTTTTTTCATTAATTATTTATGAACACATATTAATTATTATTATTTACTCATTGTATTTACACATTATTTAAATTAATTGTTAATTCTTATATATTGTTTTACTTACATTACTATGAATCCCAATATTTCTAATATTTATGTCGATATTGATACATATACTACACAACACGAATCTATTGATTCTCCTTTTAATATCCCTCTTCCAACAATTGGATCATCATCTAGGGGCACAACTAGTATTGTTTGGGAATATTTTGAAAAAATATCTATAAATAATCATGATAGTACAATTACATTTAAAGCAAAATGTAAATATTGTGCACATTTACTTGATGTTGCATCTGTAGTGTGTATTAGTCATCTAAAAATGCATGTTAACAAACATTTACAAAGTCAGCAACTAGATATTAGAAGTTAAATGCAATTAGGGGCTTCATCAACTGGTAATTTACAAACATTTTCATATGATCCTATACGTGCATAAAATTCTATAGTTGATTATATTATTAAAAAAAGAACGACCTTTTACTACTAGTAAATGCCCCAATTTCACTGAAATGATTCACGAAAGTTTTGCATCGCAATATCAAAGTTTTTCAAGAAATACTACTAAAAACAAGGTTTTAAAGAAATTTGAGAATGTTAAAAGTGAATTATTTAACATCTTTAAAAAATTGAATGGAAGAGTTTGTTTAACATCTGATCTGTGGTCACGTAATGGTTTCGAATATCAATATATCACTACACATTTTATTGATAATGATTGGAATTAAATAAAAGAATTATTTCATTTAAATTAGTTGAACTTCCATACATTGGTCATTCATTTGGTGTAGAAATAAGAAATGTATTATATGAGTGGGCTTTACAAAAATAAAATATTTACGATTAGTTTAGATAATGTAGCATATTATAATTAAACTATAGCGCATTTAAAATAAACTTTACAATTACTTATTAATGGTGATTTATTTCATGTTTGTTGTTGTGCCTATATTTTAAACTTGATTGTTAAAGAAGCTACGTATGTATACAAGACTATTGTACTTGTCATAAAAAATGTAGTTGTTACTATTATGTCTTCTGCTAATCAAATTTCGGAATATAGAAAAAATTGTCAACGAAAAAAAATACCATTTAAAAAATTAATTTAGATAGTGGAATTCAACGTATAATATGTTTAAAAGAGCTTCTAAATAAAGAAGAGTAATAGATTTATTTCTTGCAACAATATCAATAGGAGGAGTACTGACTTCCACAAAACTTAATTGGCGCCAAGTAACCTTGTACAAAGATTTTTTAAAAGTTTTTGATACTTCAACAAAATTATTTTCTTATATATATATTCCTACTTCACCATTTGTTTTACATATGCTAGCATAAATAATTAAAGTTTTCATAAAATATATGGGTAATGAATATTATGTAACCATTATTACTTCAATAAAAGTAAAATTTGATAAATATTTTGATCATTTGCCTCATCTTTTAGGTTTAGCCATAATAATTGATCCTAGGTGTAAAGAAATTAGTTTACAAGAATTTTTAGAATGTATTTTCGTTGATCAAACACAGTTTGCCCATATTATGCAAACATGCAATAGATTATTTGAAGAATACAGGGCAGCTACATCTATAAATATACCTACACACACTACACTAGTAGTCTCATTTAGAGGCGGGAGATTAAGTGTTTTTTTAACAATAAAAAGTAGAAGAATATCTCAATATACAAGCGTAAGTAGTTCTGAACTACAACGTTATTTGGAAAGCCAGTCAGTGGATGATTCTAATGATTTTGACATTTTGGAATGGTGGAAACAAAATGAAACTATGTGGTCTGTGGTTTCACAAATGGCCCGTGATATACTAACCGTTCCTATTTCTATAGTTACGTCAAGAAAAACTTTTAGTGGAGGTGGACGAGTGTTGAGCGATTATCGCAGCAAACTTTTATCCCAAATGGTTGAGGCACTGATGATATCCAGAGATCATATGCATGTGCTTACGAGAAGACAAAATTATAGTGAAAATGAGCGAATTCAAAATGATTTGGATGAAATATCATCGGGCAATGCGACTAAAATGTCTTTCTCCTCCAATGATTGATTAACAATTTATTTTTTACTATTTCATTTCTTTTCTTTTTTTTTAAGATTATTGAGGTGGAGTATAATGCAAATGATTGGTGGGCTAGTAGGTGCCAATCTAGTTGGGATGTACTTGACCTATAGTGATGCAATTACTCTACCATCATCAATAATCTACTCCTATTTTATTTGATCATCTAAATTTTTGTAATATTTTATTTCATTTTGAAATAAAAATTATTCATTCAATAAATATTATATAATTAACTTAATATTGTAATATTGAAAGTTTCATTTTCATATATATAAAATTATTCATTTCGAAAGAAAAAAATTATATAATTGCATACTTTCTTAGTTATAAGTTCATAAATAAAAAAACATAAGTCATACATAATTAAATTAAAATTCCACCATGAAACATAACCAAATAAAACATCTCATTAATCTTAACTAAAATACTCTAGATTATATAATTAACTTAATATTGTAATATTGAAAGTTTCATTTTCATATATATAAAATTATTCATTTCGAAAGAAAAAAATTATATAATTGCATACTTTCTTAGTTATAAGTTCATAAATAAAAAAACATAAGTCATACATAATTAAATTAAAATAGCACCATGAAACATAACCAAATAAAACATCTCATTAATCTTAACTAAAATACTCTAGTATAATTTTTTTTTTTTAATCTCTAATAAATAATCTATATAGATAATATATTTATCGTTCATTTAAATAAATAAATTAAAAAAAAGCCCGACTAGGCTGGGCCCAAGCCCAGGCCCTATTATGAGTGGGCTTGGGCCTGTGCCCCACTTTTTGGCCCATGGACTGGCTCGCTAAAAAAAGGGAGCCCGCGAGGCTAGCTTGAACTGGGCCAGACCATTATTACATCCCTAGTTTTAATGCTTTATTTCAAATTCTGCAAATCATTTTAAACATTAGATGTCCAAAAAAAAAAAATTTGAGTCTGAAAATACAACATTAGCAACTTCCAACTAATAAAAAAGTAAACTAAATACAAAAGAATACCAACACAAAACCAAGCATCGTACACATCTCGTATAGAAGTATATACACAAATGGAATGCAACTATGTATTCCAGAGGTGGAATTCACAGTCTTACATTGGAGAAATGATTCACATGTAAATTAGACAACTCCACACAAAAATAGCTTCTCATAACCAAGTAAAGGATATAGATCTAATCCTTTGATAGTTGGGCGAATAAAAATATACATAAGATATAGGTAGAGTTACGTATAAGTCCTAATAGGTGAACTTATTATCTAATAGATCCTATGAGAATTAATAACATTTTTCATTAAATACTATTAAAAAAACACTACTAATTGTTAATTTTCAACGACATTATAAAAATTTTGTTAGAGAAAAGTCACTAATTATAAGTTTTTATGACGGTTTAAAAAAATCTTCACAAAAAAAAAAATAATAATCATTTTTTAACTTTTACCGATAGTTTGAAAAATTCGCCGCGGAAAAACATCACTAATTGTAAGTTTTAGCGACAATTTATAAAAAAAAATATGATAAAAAAAATTACTAATCGTCAATTTTTAATGACATACGTAAAATATCATCATATAAAAATTATTTTTAGTTACGATTTTATTAAAATTTATTTTCAATAGAACTTGATATGAATTAAGTTTAACTATTATAACCTATTGTTAATTTACCCATAATGTGAATGAGGGTAATGATTGATATAGATCAATTTATTATTATTAATTTTTTTCATAATATTATGTAAGAAATTTCTTTCCCCCAAGGTAAATTTTTTCTTACATTTATCTAGGCCCCCAAATTACTCCATTAGAGCATCTCCAACGCAAGAGCCAAAAGGGGAGAATTAGGCATTTTGCCTATTGAAGTCAGATTTCGAAGGTCCAACGCGCTCTGCATCTGAGGAGGCATTTTGCCAATTCTCGTTTTGGCTCTCCACAGGTAGCCAGCATCCATTGCTAGGCAAAGCACTCTTCCCGCCATTGTGTTGGCCTCCATCGCTGCTTGTTCCATCTCTGTTCCAGCCCATTGATGATCACAGGTATGGCTCTCTTTCTCTTTCTCTTTCTCCACTTCCCTGTTCTTCCCCATCATCTATCTGCAAAGGAATACATGATTTAGGACAATCCATTTGCAAAAATTGGGTTTGTGTACTGAAATTGGTGCCCTTGTTCATGGAAATTTAGTTTTTTTTTTTTTGTTCTGTTTAATTTTTTTTGTTTTATGCTTCCTCAATCTTCGTTTGGTTAAAGTTACAGAGGTAGAAAAGACCGATCATAAATTAGGTTCTCAAAATATGATTGTTTAGGACTTGTCTTTGTTCATGGAAACTTGATTTTATTCTTTTGTAGGACTTTTTTTATGTGTTTTTTTGTTTTTCATTTCTATTGTCTTTCCTTGGCAAATTTTTTGTTTTATGCTTCCTTGATCTTCGTTTGGTTAGGTGGATGAGGTAGATTTTCGAAATGCACTCAAGGTGTTCGAAGAAAAGACAGACTAGAATTTGGGAGGCATGAGTTGAATTGTGAACCCATGTGATGCATGAGTTGAATTGTAAACCCGTTTCTCTTTCTTGCCCATTGCACATGCTAGAGAGAGATAGAGGTGAATTGTTGTTTTGGTTCCAGGTTTATTCAAGCCCAGTTCTGAATTCTGTATTCTTTTCTAAAAATTTGGATTGTATTACATGTTTCTGTCATTTTATATGTAATTCAAGTAGTGGGTTTTGTAGTTTCTTTGATAGTTTGTTCATTACGTTCTTCATCAACTGGATTTAGTTAGTTGCTTCAATTCTGTCTCTGATTCATCATGTTTTTGCAAAGAATGCTATTGAATTGATAAATCCAATCCATGTTTTTTTCCACTTAATTTCTGTCAAATGAATGATTTTGATCTCCTAATTCATGAATTTGGGAAAGGATAGAATTTTTTTATGATATAATTTGTACAATTTGTGTTTATCAGTTGAGTTAAATGCTTTGAATTTATTTCATATATAATGTTGTAGATCCTTAGGCTTAAATTACAATCATTCAATCAGAACAGGAGGAGTGTTGTTGGAGCAGTAATCGCAATTTGATCTTACAAGCTTCCTTTGATCAAATATGAAGTATTTTTATGTTCTATAGTCTTGAGTCGGATGAATTTGGTGAAGTGACCGGCTTTTTTGAGGATGGCGATGACGTTTGGGGGGCCGGAAGGGGCCGGGGAGGGGGCTGGGGATTGAGATAATGATGTGGTGGTGTGGAGGAGGGAGATGAGGAGGAGAGTGAGGAGAAGGTGGTTTGACATTTTTGGTGAAGTTTTGGTTTGGTAGGGAGTCTGGAGTGAGGAGAGTGTTTTAAGTGAAAATAAGAGGGAGTTTTTGAGAGGTGGTGGTTGTGGTGAAGAGTGCAAGGGGATTGGGGTTTTATTGAGTGGGGTGAGATGGGAAGTGAGCATGTAGGTTGGTGAAAGGATGTATTCTTTCTAAGGTGGCATGAGAACATTCATACCCTTATTTTCTTGGAGAGAGAGAGAGAGAGAGAGGGAGAGAGGGTTGGGGGTGTTAGAGAATCACCAAAGGTGAGAATTTACTTTTAAATTGCTTGTGTGATGTGTAGGTCACTTGCCGGAAGAAA